AAAAGGAAAAGCTATGCATCAACTATGCAAGTCGGGACAGGGTTGAATAAGTCAACGCCTTCTTTACAAATGGTTCACAATAGTACGCAGCGCGGGGTGATTCGAAATCCGGCTGCCTTCAGCGTTATAGTCAATGCAGGGTGACGTGACTACCTCGTTCTTGCGCGCTAAATGTAATTAAACGACACTGCTAGCTTGCTGATTGTGTAGTCTTATCTATTTTGTCTATATATTTTTTCTAAACAGGTTGTCTAACGTTCATGGTGTACAACGTTTAGACCGTACAAGATGAATTTGATCCAGCTAGACGTACATTTTTTTTCCCCTTACATTATCAGGCGTATATCATGTTGACACAACCCGTCTCTATTGCGGTATGGTCGTACTTTCAACACACACCCTGCATTCATCAAACCAGGTCGCACGCTCAAGCGAGCGCGGGTTAAACGACGAGGCCACGTGAGTTGTCAAGCGCGCTCAATTCAAACTGGGCTGACGGGTACGGTCTGTCTATTTAGAGCAGCACGCCATACACATAGCTCTATTGAATACCCTTTACTTTTGTTTTCTTATGAATTCTTTTCTGCCTTATAAACACACACCTTTCATTCCCCACCCTTTCCCGACACGTTGTTGATGCATGAGTCATCCTATCCGATCACGTGACTTGGATCAACCAATCACCTTCCCTATTTTCACTCAACCTCCCTCAACCAAAAGGGGTTCCTGGCGACCCGTTCTATACTACTGTCAGCTTAATGTGTGAGGAAAGCCCAAAGGGATGCAGGTTTCAGACGTTTTCCACTTTGGCGAAACCCACGAGCACGGGCATGGTGCCGACAAACCTAGAAAAATAATCGGGCAAACTAGAATTCGACCCCACAATCATAGGTTCCTGGTGTGCCCAAGGGTCGCAACATCAAATGAACGCATTGCATCGAAAGTAACAACAAATACATGCATAGAAACGATTTGCTATATTTCAATAAAACGTGTGCTCAAATTGTACAAGAATTTATTGCACATCTTGTGAGATGCGACTAAATGTGAATACATACTCTTCACAAAAAGTAGAGGGATCATGAAATATGTTAATACCAAGTATTAGAACAAAAATGCTACGCAAGAACGTATATGTCTGTTAAACTTTACACCAAAACACATCCCATAGATTTTACGTGCCTTACGTCATTCCTGATTTTGACACTTTCAAAGAAGGTCGACTAATTTCCGTAAACCATTAGTTCTGTCAATCTTATTGATTCTGCTTTTCATACAGTTGTGATTGACTTGATTTCATTTATTTTTTTGTGTATGAATAAGCAATGGGACGCTGCAAAGCGAGGAGCGTCTACGGGCTATTTGCATACTGGAAACAAGGCAATCGCCACTCTGGGATCAGCAGTCTATGGAACAGGTACCAAAAGGATCCAAAATGTAGGCGATCGACGCCGTTCAGGGCGTTCCAGGTCTACGACAAGAGTACAGCCTCGTTTGTTCCGAAACCAGGCTCAACTAAATCGAACTCAAACGGCGAATCGAATTGTTGCAAACTTTTATCAGGCCACTGGAGTACGAGTCACAGGTCAGGCAGCATACACACAGCTCCACCCTACGGCCACGTTTTGTGCCGCCCTTTGCAAATCGTCATATGTTGTAAACGCCAATGTTGTACGCAACGTCGAAACTGGGATGATCCGTGCTGATCGCTCTGAGTCTCGATTCACTTTGCACTTCCTTGATAGACGTTGTCGTGTCTGGCGATGTCCAAATGAGCGTCAGACCGATGTCAACATGAGACCTCATGACAGATTTGGCGGTGCATCGGTTATGGTGTGGGATGGCATCACTGTGGCTAAACAAACCCCACTCCATATTGTCCAAGGTAGAGTTACTGGACTGTACTATCAGGACAACATACCGACACCCTTTGTTGTCCCGTTTGCACCGTATGTGGGTCGACATGTTGTTTTTTCAGGAAGACAGCGCCCGTGCTCACCATGCCCGAATCGTCCATGCTCACCTCCAGCAGCACAACATCCACAGAATGCCATGGCCAGCAATGATCCCAGACTTTCCCCCATTGAAAACGACCACGACCACGTTGTCCATGAGCTGCAGGAGGAATGGGACTCCCTTAAGTCGCCATTTGGGACACTCATACGGATATGACTGAATGTTTGACAAATAGTGGTGCATTACGCACTACTGAACCAAAGACGTCAAATTTCCTATCTTACCCCGATCGTCCTTCAAGATCGTTGGCGGTCTTCACATCTACTGTCATACGTCTCTCCTGGTTATAGTATGTCCCAAATTCGTTCACTGGTATCATATAACACTTACTAGAAACTAATATGTCATACAATTTTGGAAATGTTAATATATTTCCGAGTATCCCCCTTCTTTTTTAAGAGTTTATCTTGAATCAGTATTTTTTTAATTAACCATTTTTTAACAATGACTACGAAATGTTCAGCAATATTAACTGCACTACGAGATCTGGTCTTCCTGTTTTGGCTACTAATTGTCCAGTTCACAAGTAATCATAACTATGCTGAAATTGTCTATGAACTGGATATGTAAAAGCCAGAATTGCAACAATAACAAAATAAAAATGTGTGAGTGAATGTTGTTCAACGCCGCGGTTAAACATTCCATCTCAGTTTGTTTTACCTTTCAAGTGAGTGTGTGCAGTTTTACACTGCTTTCCGTAATAGTCGAGAAATATCACGCGGATTTCCCTTTCAAATTGATGTATATCTCATTTGTTTAACTCCGCAATTTTAACGTTACATCTCAGTTTGTTTTTGGAGTGAGTATGGTTTTACGCTGCTTTTCGTAATATTCCAGAAGTCTGTTGCAATGCCGCACACCAGCACTACTTCCATTCGATGGCGGCCCGCACACTATCGTTTCTAGGTCAAATATCATTTCTACAAAAATTCAAACTTTTAAAGTTATAAAAATAGAAAAACTATAACTCGCTTTGAGAAAATACAACACATGGAGGCCAGGAAAAATATATCTCGAGCATCCGCAGAAACAGACACCACAGGGCTGTCCTGCTCTACCGAGTGGCATCCACCGTTCAAGCGTAACTCTAATGTAATATTCAAGTTGAAACCAACCGAGTCAAAACTCAGTAACCAGTCGACCGGAGATACATTCATCTGGACTGTTTTTCATGTCAACTTTCATGTCACGCCTGACTCACTTTAATTATAGTCTGGAAGGTAATTTAAGGTACCTTTACGTTTACTACAATATCTGAAAAACTATTGGACCTACTCCAGTCAAAGTTGTTATGAGATTATTAAACAGTCATACATAACTGGATATTACATTTAAAGACAATCGGTGCATGAATAAAAAATCTGTCTATTTAGCTATCACTATATTTCATCAACAACCAGACCTGTTGGTCACGGGTGGAACGAGAATTGAAACAGCCATCTGCATAATGCTACCCCTGCGTCACAGGGCCATATGACACAGGTGAATCAATCAACTCAACTCGAAAGGGTGCACGGGAATCACGCACGTTGAGGCGCCCAACGCTAACACCGTATTCGTGCGTGCGTAACGATCTCTTCAGTGACGACCCAGGTGCGGATAGGATAGGAGGCGGAAGAGTCATGGTTCGAACAAAATGTTTTGGACTGGGCCAATCTTACCATGGCATTGCCAATGGCAACATGACAGCTGTTCGGTATCCCTTGAAATTCTTGCTCCAACATTTGTTACATTCATGGTTCAACGACCTTGACATGACAGGATAGGAAGCGGAGGTGTCACCTATGGATTGGGGAGTGAGTGAGTGAGTGTGTATGGTTTTACGCCGCTTTTAGCAATATTCCAGCAATATCACGGCGGGGGACACCAGAAATGGGCTTCACATAATGTACCCATGTCGGGAATCGAACCCGGGTCTTCGGCGTGACGAGCGAACGCTTTAACCACTATGCTACCCGACCGCCCCACCTATGGATTGGGCTGAGCTAACCTTCACACTGCCATTGCTGTTCGGTAACCGATGACATTCTTACTCCAACATTTGTTCCATTCATGGCCCAGCGGCCTTGACACGACATTCCACCATGATGACGCTCGGCCACACGTGACTCGTGTCTGTATTGGATGTCAATGTAATATCGTTTGCCAGCATGTTCACCAGATTCATGCCCTATCGAACACCTTTGTGGTGAATAAATATAGTGAGAACGACATATGATGTATACTAGATTAATATATGCACATGCACATGCACATGCACATGCACATGCACATGCACATGCACATTCGGAAATTTGTCACTTGGTTTGACTTTACTTGCGTTTGCATGCGATTGTGACGGGCGCCACCGGTGGAGCAGCATGCTCATAGTAGGATCAGAATCGTAAAAATCGACTCTGCTTTTGGCAGAGATTTCTTATGACTATGGAAGGGGTTTTATCGCGTTAATTACTGTCACATATATTTATTAATGCCATGCCATTGTGTTTTGATTATTCTAGATTTTGTAAAACAACACTCGACATGTTTGGGTACATGCTCACCACTCGTCATGATATAGCACATTGCTTTACAGGTCAGATCATTGTGACTCTCAAATACAGCGACACGTCTTAAACACGGTTATGACTTCTTCCAGACGATGTCATATAACAAATAAGAACTAAAGTGCTCTAATTAAGGATTCATTAATTCGGAAATTTGATTATCTGGACGGTTTCACTGGACACGGTATCTTCCGGATTAACAGTGTTTTCACTGTATCCAATATTAATGATTATAGACTTATTATATTTCCCACTACACTGTTATCACGATTTCATCTTCTTTTTACACAGGGTACAGATATAGACCTATATTTCCCACTGAAATAGTTACAGACTACTCTTATGTGCATCAATTCAAACATTCAGTAAGTCCTTAAACCCATTTATCACATCTGAAAATATTCTGTCTCGACTATTAAAGTAGCAACAGTTTCTTACCTGAGGATCTGTCCGTGTGGTGCTCTGCTGTTCAAGCGGAATACAACGTATAAATAAGAAAGGAAAAACAAGACGGGAATGCGGTTATGCGGGTACGGGGTAATGAAGCATTACCGTCGGGGGCTTGGAAGCTGCACCAGTAACCTAGTTTGACGGTGTACTGGACACGAATAATCATAGTCCCTGCATCCTTGTTCATGATGTTCCCTACGCATTGCACTGCCGACCCGTGAAGATCCTGGGTAGAATAGGTCTTCAGCAACCCTTGCTTGCCGTAAAAGGCGACTATGCTTGTCGTAAAAGGCGACTAACGTGATCGGTTGGTCAGGCTCGCTGACTTGGTTGATGCATGTCATCAATCCCAATTGCGTAGATCGATGCTCATGATATTAATCACTGGATTGTCTGGTCCAGACTCGATTATTTACAGACCGCCGTCATATAGCTGGAATATTGCTGAGTGCGGCGTAAAACAACAAACCAACCAACCCACCAACATTGCACTGCCACGGATAATCATCCACGAGGAGCCTTAAAGTCCTGTCCTTCTTATTTCTGTCAGTAGTATTTGTCCGCATCATACCTGTGCTCGGGGCTTTCTACACCTACCAAGATGAGAGAAAACTAAAATACTGTTTAAAGAGGCTTTAAAATCAGCTCGCTGTCATTAAATGCTCAATGTACTTTGTTCCACTCACTCTCAGATTTAGTGTGTGTGCGTGTGCGTGCGTGCGTGCGTGCGTGCGTGCGTGCGTGCGTGTGTGCTGTTCTTGAATTTCTCACTCAGCAATATTCTAGGTTTATACGACCGCCTGGAAACAATCGCCATTAGCCACGACCTGCACCTTTGGGGCATGGTAGCATGCTATAAACCTAATCACTGAGACTCAACTCCCGTTTAATCGCCTCTTACAAGAACCCGTGAAGGGTGGACTACTTTCAATATACAAAACATTCAATGTGATAGCAATATCACTTATTTCCTAAGCAATATAAAACAATTCCCGAAGTGAAGCCAATTAACACTGCGCTAAGCACTATTCCAACCTGTTACAATCAGCCAGACAAACACGTGATCGCCGAGTCTAAGCCGATCTATTCAGTTCATCTCTTACAACCAGCACAGGTTCGCTGCGGACTTCACTAACCAGGACTCTCCGCGGCGTTGTAGGACTTAGGATATCTGATGTGCGTACAAAGTTCAACCAGGACATACTGAGCAGTGTTGGGGTAATGCTTCGAACCAGTTGCCTCTTACGACAAGAACACGCGAAGATCCGGGTTAGAATTGCTCTTCAGCCACCATGCTTGTCTTAACAGGCGACATGCTTGTCGTAAGAGGCTACTAACGGGATCGGGTGATCAAGCTCGCTGACTTGTCATCGTATCCCAATTGCGTGGATCGATGCTCATGATATCAATCACTGGATTATTTGGTCCAGATCAGGCTCTCGGCCTTGGAATCTGTAGTGTCTTCTCGCACTCCCCATCGGGAACAAAACAAATGAGGTATGCGTGTCTATCATATATCTGACTATACCAATTAATCTATATATATGTTTTCTCATTTGGCTAAATTCTCCTAAATGTAGACACATTCCTTACAAATAGTGGTCGTGATTGTCATATTTAAATGAATGACTCTGTTAATGCATTTTTTTGCATCCGTAAAATATAACCAGCACTGAATGCTGAATGCTAACTGTGGTTTTTTTTCTTTGATCGGTGTGTTTGATGTACCGTGTTAAATATGTGTCATATGTTTACCATATTGAATGCACTGACATTGACATTGAATGGAAATGAACCTAGAGATGAGACAAGAAAAAGTGACGTTCCTTGAACTGGGTCTGTAGAGGAATGTCCCAGATTTACTCTTCACACTTATGTTCTTCTCTTGTGTGTTTATCGTCAGTAAGTGAGTGAGTGAGTTGGGTTTAACACCGCTTTAAACAGTATTCCAGTTATATCGCGGCGTGTCAGCTTAATATGGGAAGAAAGCCCGAAGTGATGCAGGTCTCGGACGTTTACCACTTCGGTGAAACCCACGAGCACGGGTATGGTGCTGACAAACCTTTAGGTCTGGAAGTTGATTTAAGGTACCGGCGTTTACTACAATATCTGAATAACTTTCGCACCTACTCCAGTCAAAGCTGGTATGAGATTATTAAACAGTCATACATAACTGGATATTACAATCGGTGCATGAATAAAAAATCTGTCTATTTAGCTATCACTATATTTCATCAACAACGAGACCTGAACGTCGCTGTTGGGCAGCTAAAGCAGCTTTTGTGAGTATTATCGTAACACTGTGATAACGAGATTATCATTTTCAGGGCTTAAGTGTTGTGAAATATTTTTTTAAAGATGTATCCGTAGACATGCAATGTACAAAAATATACCGTTTGATAGTTCACATAGGCACCATGGATTGTCTTGAGCTGGTAATAAGGAATCTTGTAGGTCAATCGATAATCCACAATCTTCAAATGGTCAAACTGGATAATGGGAAATATGCTGCTTGACCAGTAACTGCGGATCCAACGATCCAAAGCCAGTCTTAATGTTGCTGTACTGCTTCATACGAAGGAAGAACCTTCTCCATGGACGATAGTTAAATGTGGAAACAAGTTCCCAAATGTACAACTAATTCATTACACCAGCTCATCTCCAGTACATAATTTTGTATTATTTGCCCAGTCAGAAGAGGGTGAATAGTGACCCCAAGCTGTGGTGAAAACATGTAGTTATTCTTGCACATAACAGACAATTCCCCCTTATTACTTGCCCGTGAAGAGATCAGCCGTTTAATAAACATACAGCTTTATTACACATTGTGTAATACCAAAACGCGTGCTTATGTACTCTCGGAACACGTTTTACGAACAAATATTGAAAGCTCTCAACATCCCTTGGCGTATTCAACGACATTGTGTGTGGAGATGATAGATCACTGGGAGGAGCTTATGCACACTCGATGACCCCAGCAACCTTGTTGCTAGGCTGACGTCACATGGCATTGTTTCGCCGATGGATCTTGCAACAAAATTCAACAAATTACGTCATCGGGTATTGTGACGTCATTGTAAACTTTGAGCTGCAAGGCCCCGTTCCACAAGGTGATCGTACTCTAGCGCAACGAGAGTCTTTAGTCTAAGTGAAATTATGTGAGTTGTGATAGCCTTAGCACTACAATAATTTTGTGGGACGAACGCCTGAATTCTAAAGGTGGACCATTGTATGATATTAAATTCATACGTTTCAACTTTTGACGTGTTTGAAGTATTATTCTGTTAAACTCAATTGGATTATGCCATGGATCGTGTAGGTGTCAGCCTATTTACACTCAACAGTATAATTCTAAAAACATTATAAATGACAAGTAATAAATGAAATACTAAACTCGCTCTCGTGTAAAACCAATTTTATGAAACTCGTGAATAGTTGTGGTATCTGACTCGCTTTCGCTCGTCAGATACCAGAACTATTCACTCGTTTCATAAAATTGGTATTACACGGGAGCTCGTTTAGTATTCTATATTTACATCATTGGCATAAAAGATATTGCAGTTTCTCTGGATATGGGGAAAATGAATCAATTTTATTTACATCTCCTATAAATATCAGCTTGGGTTGAATAATTGCGCATGTTCAATTATTAGAAAAACCCTTCCTGCAACCTCCCAAATCAGATTTGTCAACACATTCTAGTACATATAATGTTCGTGTAACTCCAAAACATACACATTGTAAAAAGGAAAAACTCTCCTACATTTTCATAGGGCCATCAGATAACTTTCATAATAATTACTGAAGAGTTTGCTTATTTCTCAATGTACAAAGGCCGTAGTTAACTTTTTTTGAAAGGGGGTCAAATATTTGTACAAGTATCACTTGTCTCCAACTTGTATTTTCATGATTCAAATAAAACTGTTTTCTATATAAAAAAAAAACAGGGTGGCAACTGCCCTCCCTGCCCCCCGGCTGGCTACGGCACAGATGTATGCAGAGCCTGTGGGCAAAAAAGGCCACCTATCATAATTTGTCCTAGCACTGCTCACCATGCAATGTATAGATGGTTATGATTAGGACCGATCACGGTGTTGTAATACTACGTGTTCTTTTACAATCCGACTGTGTGTTGTATACCACTATATGTTTCAGGGTCCGGATCGTCTGACGATGTACGTGAGCACAGGGGCACACTCGTCGAAGCCGCCGCAATTCGCTGTACAGAGTTGCGTTCCTTGGGCGCGCCAAAAAAAATCTATGTTCGTGTGTTCGAATCCCGGTTCGCCCCGATTATGTTTCTATAGTCTGGAAGTTAATTTAAGGTACCGACGTTTACTACAATATCTGAATAACTATTGGACCTACCCCAGTCAAAGTTGGTATGAGATTATTAAACAGTCATACATAACTGGATATTACATTTAAAGACAATCGGTGCATGAATAAAAAATCTGTCTATTTAGCTATCACTATATTTCATCAACAACCAGACCTGTTCGTCACGGGTGGAACGAGCATTCATTGTAACAGCCATCTGCATAATGCTACCCCTGCGTCACAGGGCCATATGACACAGTTAAACCTATCAACTCAACTCGAAAGGTTGCACGGGAATCACGCACGCGAGAATACGGTGTTAGCATTAGATTTCATGATGTCTCAGCGCAAGCATCTTTCCGCTGATGCTGATGAAAGGTTTCGTTGTTAAAATATTTGAATACTTTAAGGCTGAAAGTGAAAGACGTTCGCCCTTCTTTGGCATTTCAAAGTACATGAAAAGAACAATTCATGCGTTACAGCTTCCCAAACAAACCGTAGTTAAGATTTTGAACTCTCATAAAAACACATGCTCCCCTGCACATCCCTTAGGGGGCATCTCAAAACAGGATAGGAAATTAAAGTTTCTCACAAAAGCTGCTTTCGCAGCCCAACAGCGATGTTGTTGTTAGTAGCAGGATAATGTAGTTACCAACAGCAGCACCAGGTCTGTGACTTAGGCACAGCACCGGCATCAGTGTTGTGCCATGTTCTGTAGGTCGGCCCCCCCAGAATATTTCCTCCCCGGTCGTTTTATAAATACTTGCCATGCAGTTCAATAGTTGCCAAACACTTCTGATAGAGACGATGTTGAGAATGTGGAGCGAAAAGGGCTTCACTTTGAGCACTGTGTTTTCTTTAACTACCGCAATATGAGACAATAAAGTGGTATATAGGTAGATATAATACTAGTCGTTAGATATAAAGAATGTTTAGTGACTTTAGAAGTTCTAGGAAAGTTATTACCCCGTGTCGTGTCAGCCCTACGACATTCGCGATTTTCCACTTCCAGAAAACATCCTGTGTTGGTTTAACATGAATTAGTAAAGGTTAATTAGGGATGCCCAACACGTTAATTAATGAAAGACGAGTAGTCAAAATGCTATCATTTCCTGCCCAGGACATCACACCCCCACACGCTTAGGTCGGTGAGAAACATTCTCATCAAAGAAAACACACAGTCAAGACTGTAGATTCCCGTCGTCTAGCTACAAATCATGTGATGTATTAAAGGTTGAAGAATTTTGAACTGAACTGTCCGAAAGTTTATATCTAAAATGTTGGAATTGGATAAAGTGATAAAGTCTTATATCAATATGTAGACTCATAAATATTGGTTTTATGTTTCAACGGAGATATGATATTTTCTTATGAAATATCGCGTATTAGTGTAATTTGCATGCTTTACCATTCATTGTACCATTCTAAACCATGTGAATGTTGTAATATCAGTCAATCGGGTGGGAAAACAGCCCAATCCTCGCTCTTTAAAGGACTATATCAATCATTTTGCAAGTTGAAATGACCCCTGATACTTTATGAAAACTTTATGACAGTTTTTTTATAGAGTCAAAATCAATGCTGATTATTCATAAACTTAATGCTTCGTAATATAGGTCTGTGGCCTCTTCAGTGCTGAATAAAGATTGAAAATACATCAGTCAATCAAAGATGAAGGTAACTTTATACATCAGAGTTCTTGAGAATAAGTTCATGTTTTGTTCTTAGACTAACATTTCAACCATCGATTGTGTTCATATGTAGACTCAAACTGGTATATTAAAAACAACAACTGTATTAGAAACAACAAACTCTGTAGAGACTCTTGTCTCTCATCCTTTGTTTGGTATGATTATGTCTTATAATTATTGAAGGATGGACGGTACAGTTACCAAATAAAATATGCTGAAATATCAATTCGTTATGACCATATTTCTATTTTTTAAAGTAACCCTCCTTACATCAAAGATAGCTATTTAAAGAAAGAAATGAGTTCTCGTGTTTCATGCTCACATTTTTTCAATAATACCCCTGTTCAACATGATTTCGACTCCCCTTTCTACCTGTTTTCAATCATCTCCCCGAAATTGTATAAGCATGGCGGACAAAATGCTGTTGTGGAAGTGATTTAAATTCATTCCTGTCACATTCAGCACACGATAAAGTCCAGGCATCTGATGTGAGAGATAGACCCTTTTGTCAACCCTTCGTCGATGGACTTATAGAAATACACTATTTATGCAGTGTGGTTATTTTGGAATTGACATTCACTTTGTGGGAGTTCATTGGGGTATGAAGGTTCATACTAAATGAACACACACAGAGTGAAAGTCAATTCTAATAATTTTTATATCACTATTTTATACCTCCAGGTGATGTAGCGCTTGACATATACGTGTGACTTTATGTTTACACTGACAGCCATACAACAACCAGCTGAGCGGGCACGGGTGGCCCAGTTGTCTGAGGCGCCGCGATTCGCTGTGCAGAGTTGCGTCCCTTGGGTACACCAGAAATCTATGATTGTGGGTTCGAATCCCGTTCGCCCCGATTATGTTTCTAGGTTTGTCAGCACCATACCCGTGCTCGTGGGTTTCACCGAAGTGGTAAACGACTGAGACCTGCATCACTTCGGGCTTTCCTCCCACATTAAGCTGACACGCCGTGATATAACTGGAATACTGTTAAAAGCGGCGTTAAACCCAACTCACTCACTCACACCAGCTGTATCTTGAAATAAAATAGTTCCTTAAAATGAGAGGTGACATGAGCGTATATATGCTCAACTTGCTTTACAGGAACATTTGTTGCAGTTTGTTTACAAGAAATGTATTCAAATAATATAATCATTGGGTGAGAAAGGTCTACCTCTGTAAGTCAGCCATATGTCAAATAGATGCTATGGTAAATTCAATTAATTGCTGTGCACTGGAGCTGTCAGTCCAGACACGGATCGAGTCGATACTACGATAGCGGTTGTGCATTTCTACGTTTTGTTCACTAGGAGGGCTCGTAGTGAGGATACAAGTGAATGATCATGCAGTCAACCTCTCTGGCGTTTCACAATGTATGCTAAAACGCTGAGTTCAAGATTAAACGGTCTAAATGATCAGAAAAAACGCTTTTGTATGTATTCCTGCAAGGTAATTCCCAGGGGTTTCCCCAGGAATGTGGAAGTAGTCCGTCAGTGTTTATGTCATTTCAAGCATACAGTCTCATGTAAAACGTATGAACGTCAAATTATGTCGTTCATACGCTTATGAATCGTGTAAACTTCAAATTAATACATTATTTTCAGCATGGTAACAATACATCGATCTATACTGTATATAGCTGGATAGCTTCTACAACGATGTTTGATTGGTTGATCCCCTGAACTTACCCTTGAACATGTCCAACCCATTTTCCAGATATTTCGCAGCATAGCGACGACCAACCACTAAGTCTTATCCACGATTCCAGCCGGTCAGATCGCAAAGGGATAATCGAATCTTGTCCAATTTAAGGATGTCTTGCTTGACATCTTCGAAGTTCAACATTGTCAAAATGGTGGTGCATAAAAAAACTTTATGCCAGTTTGACAAGGATAATGAGACATGTACTTTCAGGAAAATGGTTGCATTACAAAATACTGAAAAACTCAGATGAGTAGTAAACTTCATTTTCATGTAATTTAGGTTTTTCCTCCCATGCTTGCCGTGAAAGGCGACAATGCTTGTCGTAAAAGGCGACTAACGGGATCGGGCTGTCAGGCTCACTGACTTGGTTGATGCATGTCATCGTATCCCAATTGCGTGGATCGATGCTCATAATGTCAGTCACTGGATTGTCTAGTCCAGACTCGATTATTTACAGACCGCCGTCATATAGCTGGAATATTTACTGAGTACCGCGTTAAACAACAACCAAAATTAACAGTATCTAATAACAGATGGTACTTCGATGACAGCTGGTATATTTTCTTCGATTCTGTTATTGTTGGTATTATCCAACATTTGATTTTATAAGGCTTTAAATGTTTTACTGTTATCCGCTTTCCACAACCAGGGTCGTTCTGATGATTTCGGTAGGATTTTCAAATCCATTTATGCACTAATATAGCAACGTGCATGCACGCGCGCGCGCGTGTCTGCTGCCGATTTAAAGTGCTAGCCCAGTGAGATATATACCATGCCGCAGTTTATTTAACATGAATACCCCACTCAGACACAGTATACTGACTCCGAGCCGACCAGGCCTTGTTTTAGCCCCGTAATGCCGAGCGCCAGACAGTTTTAGTAAGACGCGGCCGGGGATCGAACCCCGAACCTTCCGCTCTCCTGGCAGACGCTCTACCACTAGACCACGGAGGCGGTCCGGCAAATATCTGTGGAAACTAATTGAATGAACCACGTAAAATCAGTGATCACAGTGATGTCACTCGCGAAAAGGGTAAGCATGTCCTGAGCTATCGGTAGCACCCGCCATTCATGCAATTGCATAAAAAAAAGTAAATATTTATTGCCTGGCGCGTCGTCAGCCTGTAAACAGATATTCAAGTGATCGAAGAACCAGAAAATTCAGTGACACGAGAGTACCATTACTGATTTTGTTGAAACAAATGAAAACGGTATGTTAAGTTTGACTTACGTCAGCAGTGTACAAGTGCAGAGATCTTGCTCCTTATAAGTAAAGAAAAAGGTTAAGAAATATATTCGTTTTTCAAACACCTTTGGGCACAATTTTAAAGTCGGCGCAAACATTTCTTTTGTAGTTGACTAAGCATAGATAGATGCGGCTGAGCTTATGATGGAACTCGGGGTCTTCAGTCCACCTGCTGAAACATCGACCCAGTTCAAGTAAATATAAATTGTAAATGCACGAGAATAACCCGCTTAGATATTCTGCCGAAACAGTTTCCACTTAAAGCGAAGTACAAGTCGCATGTTTGCCGTAAAAGGCGACTACGCTTGTCGTAAAAGGCGACTAACGGGATCGGGTTGTCAGGCTCACTGACTTGGTTGATGCATGTCATCGATCCCAATTGCGTGGATCAATGCTTATGATATCAATCACTGGATTGTCTGGTTCAGACTCGATTATGTACAGACCGCCGTCATATAGCTGGAATATTCCTGAGTGCGGCGTTAAACAACAAACCAACCAGACAACTGTGGAAAAAATATGAATGGGTATTAAGTATATTGTTTATATACTAAGGGCATAAAGAAATCAGAATACACGCCGAAATGAACATTGAGGTGAGACGTCCGTGTGTGTCTGTGTGGTACGTGCGTGCGTGCGTGCGTGCGTGTATGAACTCGTCCGGACTTATGCTGGTTTTATCGTGCTAACACACTTGGATACATCACACAATATACTGACTCCGATTTTATTACCTATTTTATCCCCTAAAAGTCGAGCGCCAGGCAGGGTGACAAGTTTCATCATATAATGTCTTTTGGTATGACGTGGGGACCTTCCGCTCTCTGGGAAGACGCGCGCTCTATCCACTAGACCACGGAGGTGGTGAAATCGCAGAGAAATATAACCACTAGCAGTGAAGTAAAAGAAAAGGCTGCAAAGAAAAAAAAATTAAACTTTATTTAGCGGATATCACTCAAGAGTGAGGACAAAGAAAAAGAGGTGCGTCGAACTAGAGAATCTAATTATGTGCAATGTAAACATAAGGATTTGATGAAAATACAATTCTGTTCGAAAGTAACAAAAGCAAAGTAAAATATGGTTCTTGTCTATAATTATACATAAATATAATTTCCACATGGTGTTTACAGGTACAAAGGTCAAACGAAAGAGGATGTTGATGTCAATTGTATCCATACGTAAGTTAAACGGTTTTATAATTCAGAAACTAACTATGCAGAAATAGGATCAAGCCAAATGCAAAATCCTGTCATAGTTATTGATGATGCCATATAATCTTGGACTGACTAACAAATTCGTTAAAATTGTTAATACCTGTATACTATATGCTCCAGTGGTCAGAATGTGCTCGGATCTCAGCAGAGATTGTGGAGTTTCAAGTTACAAAATGGCATTCCATTAACAGGCTCAGTGCTGGTCCTTATGCAGAGGGGCCTTGGGATGGTGTATCTTAAGACAGATAACGGAGATCATATTGCCAGGCAAAAACCACTGTGTAACAATATATGTAGCCAAACTTTACATTTTCCGACTGCTTCACTCATTTATGTACTTCATTTCTCATTTTGTTTGGTGTCTTTTCATAAACATATATAAAACAGTTCATTAATGATGAAGACCAACCTCTATACATTCAGCCATGGAAGTATACAAGACCATCCCAAACTTGGAAATTGTTCTATTTAAAAAAGGTTCGAGTCATCAGGCGTTTTGTGTCCACACTGTCGCAGATCACCACAAGTTCTCCGCAATTTGTAACCCACATTTGCTGATATCCTTATTTTCAACCTAAATTGGATAGGAAGCACCTTACCATAAATATTTGCTTCATTAACTAGGCTGTTCTCATCAGAGGCACGTGGATGTGGTAAGCCAATCAAAATAAAGTATCAGAAATAAAGTGCTGAACGATCATACATTGTTGACAAGCCCAACATGTTGTCATATTAGAAATACGCCACTGTTTCCATAGCAAAGCGTTGCTCGTCTGTCTCAACCAATTTGTACTTAGCGACCTCCATATCTCTCTTGCACTTGACAAACCATGTCACCAGTTCCTTCCCTAAGGCATTACATAGATCCTCATCCTTTTCCAGCTCATCCAGAGCTTCTGCCAGGGAACGCGGGAGAGATTCGACGTCCTCTGTTTTGTCCGGGGGTGGGCACTCCATCTTTTTAATGACGCCGTCCAGTCCAGCAGCAATGGTAGACGCCACTACGAGATACAGATTGCTCTTTCCGCCTGGTAGTCTGTTCTCAAGGTATGTTCTTGATGGTCCATCGTTTTTTGCGCGAATGCATGCATATCGGTCCTCTATTCCCCAATAGATAGGTGACGGAAAGGCACATTTACCCTGGTTCCTATAGCAGTTGACAGTAGGGTTTGCAAAGGCACAGAGAGCTTTACTGTGTTTCAGGATACCAGCAATCCATTGTTTTGCAACTGTAGACAGTTTGTCTGGAGAACATTCGTCATAAAATATGCTTTCACCAGATCTATTCCATAGCGAAAAATTGAAATGTGTGGCGATCCCCATCTGATCATAGGAATGTTGGGACATGAAGGTGATTTTAAAACCCTCCAAATCTGCCATTTCCAAGAGACCTTCCTTCAGATTAAAAGCCATATCCGGGCTCTCGATTCCATATTTGGGTTTTGTCACAGCTTCAAAAAGCCCAGGTCCCATTTCAACATAATACCTATCAACATCTATCTTGGATTCTTGAAAATGCCTATCAAAGTGGAATAACAATTTGCTATGTTTGTTAAATACCCTGTTGCTGTACACATCTCTTCCTGCAAACACTGGCTCCATTGTGTTATTGTCAAGGAGTTTGAATTCAATCTCATGACCGGAATACAAATCAAATCCAAGATCACCCAACCTCTGAAGCTGCTGTCTTGCTACATACCGAGGGCACGCATCTTGTGGAGAGTTGTCTTTCTTCCATCGAGACTCACACAAGACTTCAGCAACCTTCACTCCGTCCGGAGCCCAGGGAATGGACCTCAGTGTGTCAGGGTCAGGAAAGATCAACATATTGCCAACATTATAGTTCTTCTCATGAAATACTGGAACTACTTCTGTTCTAGGACCAAGTAACAAAGTGTCTGCAATGAAACCAAAGTAAATTATGATTTGCCCAAGCAATAACGTGAGACACAGACTGACACTTGTGATCCTCAAAGGAACACTGAACATGTTAATTTAACATTACGTACTCTTTCTGTGGGACGGTTACTTCGAAAGATGTTACAATTACATTCAATTACATATGCGATTGTTAAAATAATGATAACCGTAGAATGAGTGAGTGACCTGACGTTATATATAGTTCAGTAACACCATACAATGTCATGTTTCTGCGTGAGGCAAGCCCAAAGTTATTCCGGTCATTTGTTTTATGTGTCCATACTTCTACAAGAACACACAATGACATCCCCAATGGTCATACGTCTACACGAACACACAATGTCTGCCCTAATGGTCATACTTCCACAAGAACATACTATGTCATCTTTAATAGGCATACTTCTCCAAGTGAGTGAGTGCATGAGTGAGTGAGTATGGGTTTTACGTTGCTTTTTGCAATATACGCTTCAACCACAGTCGCAGTCCCCAGGGAACATTATCACAACGTTGTTTATAAGTTGTGGAAATTTTACATTGTAACATAGCGTTTAGTAGCTATAACAACGTCGTATTACGACCACTAGTATCGTTACAATTAGTTTCGTAAACAAGAAACTATTGTATGATAATTATTTACATAGAAATCCAGTCCCTAGTATGAACAAAAGTATATTTACAAACCTGAAACATGTCTTTAAATGTAAAAATAAAATAAAATTCAGATATTCGAAACAGAGGCCAACAACAGTGTTGTTTAGTGACCGCCATTTTCAAAGTACACATCGACCGCTCCCCAGCTACGTCCATGCAGAGGTTGGCCTCACCTTGTCAATGGTACTCAATGTCGCCGTCGGATCTTTTACGTTGGCCCAATATTTGGGTAACATTTCAGGAATGTGATTCAAGGGATTCTACTCTAATTGACAGCTTCTCCTGGGGAGCAATGTGACTTTCGTGCCTCTCTTCGAGCAAACGACGATATATTAGCAGACACACAAGCTCGGACATCGGAGTACTGTTTTTTATCAAATATATCGGTAAGAGTTCAATTAACGTGTTTGTATATGTTCAGGTATATTTCCAAACAGAACCCGAGAAAAAAGAGCCATTATACATTCAGATATACAAACACGAGAAATTTGTTTCTAGAAATCGAAAACACCATGTTTGTGAGCCAGCTGGAAACAGTTGATGAATCTTCGGACAGCAAGTGAACCACCAACTACATAAATACTACTGATGGCTGTAGTTTTAATTGAACATTGCTTTCATTCTTTAAAACTTAGCCTTTTCTTGTGGCAGCTCATATGAACAATACAAATATCAGTATGTTCTTTGTATATTTCAATCAAACTGAGCACTGATGTCAACAACATCGATAGTTCAATTTTCGATCACCAAACAGTGGACGTGCGATCTATTTTTGTATTTAAGAGTGATTGATGACATAGTCACTTTCAATTATTTGTATACATTTAACATTTAAAAGTGTCGGTAATCGAGTTTGATCGAGTTTGAACATTAATCGTAATATAGATTCACCAAGTTGTGCCAATTAAAGTCAAGTCAGCGCCCTTGTTTGAAATCTAGATGTCAAAAAACAAAGTACGTCCTAACGATGACAAACATAAGACGTTTATGTAGAATTAGGCATCAATTGGGATTTGCCCGTGAATTTATTTAACCGAAAACAAAATCCCGATGAAATTAGCAGTGCTTTGACGAAATAACAAAATTGACCTAAGTGTTCGTGATTAGTTCAGACTTGTTCAACATTATGCAATGACAAGAATATCTTCATGAAATTCCTGTTACGTCTATATGGGTTTGGTTGGTTGGTTTGTTGTTTATCGCCGCACTCAGCAATATTCCAGCTATATGACGGCGGTATGTAAATAATCAAGCCTGGACCAGACAATCAAGTGATTAATATCATGAGCATCGATCCACGCAATGGCTTGTTTGTTTGTTGCTTAACGCCGCACTCAGCAATATTCCAGCTATATGACGGCGGTCTCCAAATAAGCGAGTCTGGACCAGACAATCCAGTAGTTGACATCATGAGCATCGATTCACGCAAAGTCATCGAAGCTGACCACCCGATCCCGTTAGTCGCCTCTTACGACAAGCAAAGTCGCCTTTTACGACAAGCATGGGTTGCTGAAGACCTATTCTACCCCGGATCTTCACGGGCATATAACGCGGGGGGATATAGCGAACAGCCAGTCTGTCTGTCCGTCCGTCCGTCTGTCCGTCCGTCCGTATTCATTTCCTTTTCCGGGTCAGAACTCGAAAACCATTCAGTGTATTTGATCGAAACTTGGCAAATCTATCAGTCACATACACATTATTTTTTATGTTTCCATCGCAACAAGTTGGAATTAGGTTCTATAGGGTATAGTTCGTTTCTGGAGCATAACTCAAACCCCATTCAATACTTTCTAACAAAACTTTGCATGTCTATCAAACTTATACTGAGCTGGTGCCTTTTCCTATGTAGGAATTATAGAAATTTGTATTCTTCCATGGTAACAAGATGGACTTAGGTTCTATAAGGGTGCACGTGGTGTTCGTTTCCGGAGCGTAACTCAAAAACCGTGAAATACTTTCTTACAAGACTTCGCATGTCTACCAGGCACATACTGAACTGGTACCTTTTGCTATTTAGGAATTTTATATTTGTTTGTTTTTTACGTTTCCATGGCAACAAGTTGGATTTAAGTTTTAATATAGGGTGGGTTCACTTATGGAGTATAACAAATACACTGTTAAATATTTCCTTGCCAAACATTGCATGTCTATATATAAAGCACATTCCGAACTGGTGCCCTTTGATATTAAGGAGTTTTAGAAATGTTTATTTTAGAATTTCCATTGCAGCTATTTGGACATGGGCTCAGAGAAATGTTGGGTCAGTTACCTGGTTTGGGACCATAATGGACGGGGGATATAGATGACTTCGTTGACTATACGCTTGTTTAGTTATTGTTTCTTGTAATTTGTCATTTGTTTGCATTAAACCCAAAAGAAACACACTTGTTTTACTTTCCATTTCATATGGATGCGACCATGGTGGATCTTTTGTCGATAAACAATGTATGCTTCTTCAAGAACATTCAACTCTTGACTCATAACATACAGAATCGCACATTTATTTGTGGTTACTTTACAGACAGCTTTCTGACTCTTGTTAAAAAACTATAAATATGGCTTTGTCGGGCATTGCTCAGGGGTATAATTTCTTTTGTAAACCACCTAGCACTAACAATATATATATCTTACAGAAGCTGAGGTGTACCAAGTGCTGTGTGTGTCGGGGGAACTAAGTGCATCTTTGTTGCAATGAGAAAAAAGCGATTGTGTACTTGGGTCACTTCTTTCAAGGAGTTGGCGAATTGACGGGACATTTGTCATCATTTGTCGTGTACGTCGTGCGCTTGAAGCGCTAGTTAAACTGTGTAAACTCCGAGCTTGCGAGGAGGTTCACACAAAAGTTTAACCAGCGCTTTTAAATCGTTCGTACTTCAATGAACCCATCCAAACTGACGTTCAATTCTTATAATTTCATACTTTGTAGTTTACTGGTCTCGCCGAATAATATCGCAACTTATGTTTGCTTAAATTTGAAGTCCTCTGGTTTCGCAAGAACATTGCAACAATGTTATTTTGTCGGTTGTTTCCGGTGTCACGAAATATATTCGCCCCCAGAATAAAATCTCCCCCCCGGCGAATTTATACCGGTACAGTTCCGCCCCTCTCGAAATAAACTCTCCCCCACCCTACGAAATAAAATCTCCCCCCAGAATATTTCCTCCCCCGGTCGTTTTATAAATACTTGCCATGCAGTTGCCAATAGTTTTAATGTTTATTTGTTTATGTGTTTTTTTATTCATTTTTTTTTTTATCTCCTTTATTTTTTCTGAATTATACATTTAGTTACTTGTGTGGGGTGTGGGGTGTGTGGTGGGGGGTGGGGGGTGTCCCACCTTTCCTTTCGTTTTTCATAATATTATATTTTTAAGTTGTATATAACGTATGAATCCCTTCTCAGATTACTTTATCTCAGTTCTATATGACGTACTATTTTACTTTTCTGTGTCGTTCTTGTTTTCTCTTCAGTGTGAGGTTAAACTGTATCATTTTTACTATTTTGATATTTTGCAATATGTTGTGGTCATCAGTTATGCAAATCAGTTTCGGTGTGTCTTTTTAACAAGATGTTCTTCATTAATATTCACCGCCAGCCCCATTGTAACAATTACATGTACACTTTGCTTTGACGATGCCGGTTGATTTTGTTCAATACAGGTGTTTTTGAATCTATTCTACATGCTAATCATTTCGGGAAGATGATACACATTATCTATATTTTGGGTTACTTTGCTTATAAAGATTATACATGTAAACGTACGCAGTCTTAGTAGATTTTAAAGTAGATTTAATCAGTGCTGAATTAGATAGTTATGATGTTGTATGTTTAACAGAAACCTGGTTGCACCATGATATTCTAGCCCCTGGTATTACACTGATACCATTTTCAAATGGTAGCCTGTATTAAGGAATATATTTTAGATCTTTAATCAGAGTATAACGGCGTGGATATGTTGACAGTTTTTACGTAGTTAGTGTTAAATCGAATGTTTGCGAGGATTAATAAGATCTCTGAAATCAGTTACATCAGTAGTTCCGGTGTCACGAAATATATTCGCCCCCAGAATACCCCCCGAAATAAAATCTCGTAGGGATTTTTATAAATACTTGTGTTTGGCTTGTGTTGGATCCGAAAGTTTATATCTAACATTTTTGAATTAAAGACAGTGATAAAGACTTATATCAACATGTGGACAATACTACACCATAAATGAACTGTTTCGATTTGCCAATGGAAATACTACGCCATAAATGAACTGTTTCGATTTGCGCGGTTTCACCAACCGTTCAAGATACATGTAACTAATACTCTCTGTCAATGCGTTCA